TAATGGCTATTTATTTTTCCAAAATAGCGATTACTAGTACTAATACTCATATACAATATAGATGTTGAGTTAATGAATATATGTGTAAAATTATTTATGTCTAATACCAAACTTAACTCCAAAACAAAAATAATATAAAAACAACATCACGAAACATAGATTTTCGCCATGTCAACATCCGAAGCGTGAGAATCTGCCACCTAGGCTCAACACGTTTTGAATTAATATAAAAGGAGGGATTTGACACATGTATATGAGATATAGGTGTCTATATTCAAATATTATAATTTTTTTAATTTGAGATATTTGTATATTAAATTGGGTGATGATAGATAAAAGATATGGAATTTAAGAAAGTAGTGGACCAGTTAAATAGACTATGTGAAGCACCATTACCCTTGAATTAAAGAATAAATTATATTTGTACCAAAAAAAGAATAAATTATAGTTCTTGTTTTGTTAGGCTTTGATTTCTTATTTTTGGTCAATTATTCGTAACCCCACAAATCACAAATGGGATATCAAAATCAATGTTATGTATTCTGCTATATTCTATCTTAAAGTCTGCACAAATGAGATGAGAAATTTTATTGTTGGATTATTAATAATAATAAAAAAAGTTTTTTTTTTGGAAAATAAATATTGAATAATCTAATTATATGTTTCGATCGTTATTCGTTAGTCGGAGCTCATATTAACAAATAAATAAAAATTGAGTGATAAAAAAAAAAAAAATACATAATGTTATGAGAAATTTCGGGTTCACTAGTGATCAATGTGAAAGTGTGGCTAAAACTCGAAATTCCAACACTAGTGTGATTAAATCTCCAAATTCTAACTTATATGTATCACTCACAATTAGTTATGTAAACTAATGATAACCTTTTCATATCAATATATCTATATACACACACTCACACACAATATTTTAATATAGATTATTATATCTAGCCATATCCCACTTATTATTTTTTTAATAACTACAACTAATGATTTTTTTTTTAAAAAAAAAAAAAACTATTATTTGATAAGTTTGAACAAATCATGAATGGTTATGAATAGACAAAAGAATAAAGAAACATGCTCGAGCTCAGTTAATTTTATCACTATTCACAAGTTGAGTTCGAGCCTTGACAAGCTAAGTTATGAAAATTACATAAAATTTCTTTGCTTAACTATAAGTCGAACTTATGAGCGGCTTATCCCGGGTAACAACTCTAGTTATGAGTTACTAGATAGTTTGCTAACATGAGAATGTGTAAAAAAAAAAAAGCATGTAGTAGTATTTTTCTAGGACCAATGAACTCATTTAGATGTCAAAACTACTTTATATTTAGCTTTTTCATAGTAAATTATTGTCTGTTTACCAAACAAGCTAACTATCCAAATGAGTCCATCAAAATTATTTATGACTATTCGCTAATACAATCAATTATTCAGAAAATACTACGATTCCTTTCTGTCGGGATTTGTAACCGCTAGATTATCATGTAATTGTCGGGATAATTAATCTAACGGTTAAAAACCTCGACGGGATGATCCCGTAACTGGCCGTAACATCTCCCCAATTATCCATTACCATTAGCGCAACTATGCAAAGCAAATTATGATTACATCATATTTCAACACCTACACATAAAAATAGTTACTTTTAGGATTTACCAATTTTATCTTGTACTATTCTTGTTGGCCTTATACACTCCATTTCTAATAAACCGCAACAAACCTCACCCATATATCAGTCTACACGCAATTTGTGATACCTTTCATCGTCTTAAGTTCTTCCCCTTCAATCCCCTCTCTCTCTCTTTCTCTCTCTCTCTCTCTCTCTCTCTCTCTCTGTCTCTCTCCCCCAAATTTTTTGCTCTCTCTCTATATCTCTATCTGTATCTTACGCAGAAGCTGTTGGGCCTTACAGAAAAAAAAAGAAAAAAATTGTTGTCCAAGAAGACACGGCACTGTATTCAACCCATCAAACAAATCCCCTTTTTCTCTCGGATCTTGCCCGAGGATACGAATCCGATTCAAACCAACCCGGTTAATTTGGCCGTGATTTTCTCAGACCCTCTTATCTGCAGCTGTTGTTGATTGTATCTGTGTGTGTGTGGGGTGTAATGACGAGGAGGTGCTCGCATTGCAGCCACAACGGGCACAATTCTCGGACATGCCCGAATCGTGGGGTCAAGCTTTTCGGGGTCCGATTGACTGACGGGTCGATCCGGAAGAGTGCAAGTATGGGTAACCTGACCCATTATATGGGAGGCGGTGGCGGTGGTGGCGGTAGTGGAAGTGCGACGCCCCAGAACGGGGTCGCTCATGAATCGCCGGCTGACACGCCGGACCACCCCTCAGCCGGTTCTGGCGCCGCCGACGGTTATGCGTCTGAGGATTTCGTTGCTGGGTCCTCCTCCAGCCGGGAGAGGAAGAAAGGTATTTTTTTTTTTTTTTTTTT